CTTGAAAATCTCCAGGAATCAGAGCAGCAACCTCACTTGCAGTAGGCATGTTATGCATTTTTGCATCTTTATCTCTTTTTGCAATGAGAACCAACTTGGCAGTGTCCTTAATCTCAACTCCAGAATATCCATCCTTGTATGAACGAAAAGCCTTCTCCAGTGAATTACAATGATTCAGCATCTTCATTATAGCTTCTATTAACTCTGTCCTTAATTTGTTATCAACCCGGTCATTCTTGCTATATAAGTTAACAACAAAGAATCAAACATTAATTAAAACGCCATTTGATAATATCAACCTCACAAAATATATGTAAAATGTAATACATTATTGATTGTTCCCTGTTATGAATCTCGTTCAAAGTATCATGAATATAAATTTGCAAGAACTTGGGTTTCTCTTCGCTCTTAGGATTTAAACCTCCAATCAAATGGTAATTCTTTCCATGCAACTGAAATATATGTGGTCCTCTACCCTCGTTTATAGAACTGTTAACTTGGTCTCCAATTGAAGTAAAAGAGAACATCATGTTGTAAGCTCGAATATTCTCACGAAAATGACAACAAATCTCATCATCACTTGTGAATAGATATATCAACAAAGGAGGAAGTTAATATAATATCGGAAGTTTAACTTTTCCTTGCATACAATACATTGTGAAGATCAAAGTCTACAAATTTCTCTTCTTACCAATCCGCTCATTGAACCACATACGAGCATGACAATGTATGCATTTAAAAATTGGATCTCTATCATCGTGATATCCTGTTTAAAATTTTAGAATGAATGTTTTGTTGTAAATAACATGGCATCACAAAATAAAATATGCAATATACTAGACAAATTTAGTCCTAATTCTTCTTGTCGAACATTATTACCAACGTCAGTAATTGTTGCCTCGTTATCAATAGATTTATCAATTTGCGATACATCCTGTGTTTCTCTTCCTCTAGATTGAAATCCAGCTTTTGAAGTAGAATCATAGAAATTCCTTTTTTTGGTTGCTGAATTATTAATATGCAATAGTAAATTTGTGTGAATATAAATACGGATAAAGTTGAGTAAATATAGTTTGTTAGGAATATGATCAAAAAACAAACCTGAGAAACTTGCAGGAGTAGCAGATGAATGTATGGGAGGCAGAGCAGAAGTAATTCCAGATTTAACTGTAAAAAAGCAAACAAATATATACTCACTTTTGATTAAAATCGTTAAAAAAATGAATGACAATGAATTATAATTTAAAAAAATAACCTGATGCCTGAGTTTTTTTTAGATAGAATAGTATTCCTTTTGTAATGTCTTGACAGTCTTTGTTTCTCCAAAACAGTATTTGTTATATCATTCAGAGGTGAACTCATTATCTTACTCATACCACCATCAGTACAACATGAATATATGTAACACCCGCTACAAGTTGATATATTTAGTAAATGTTTCAATATTTTTACATTGAGATAAAGATACGCTATATTATTTATATCCAATTGTTTTACTAAACGAATTAAAAATGCTTTACCTGATTGATGTTTTCTATTTTTTTTTCAATCAATGCTTTATTTGCTTTTTCAGCAGCAGAGTTCCAAAAGAATCATATATATTAAAGAGAAATTTACACTCAATATCACTTTCTGAGTTTAGTTTTACACAAAATATCACTTTCTGCTACTATAACACTTTTTCAGCTTTTACATTGGCTAGAGTACAATTCTATCCTTATATTAACCCCACTCAATATCTGTTTGGTTTTCCCAAACCAAAACATTTTCCTAACCTAATTTTTTTGGTTTAGAAAAAACCAAGACCACTGTAACAAATTGAACCAACTGAACTGTAGTAAATTGAGTACTCTGAAAAAGCTTAATAAACCATTATCTCCTCTATTCTTTTACAAATATATATCGTCGGCGGTATATCGTCCAACGTGATCTTCTTACTTTATCTTGATCCTCGTTAATATCTCTTCCATTTTGATTCCGAGGTTTTCTCACATTATCTGTGTCACTTTATTGCGGCGGATATTTTGCTCTCTGTTGACAAGCCAGAGCTGTATCGGGCCTGTTATCGATAGCTGTTGCGAGGAACACCGAGCTGTATTTGTCGTCCTAGTTGTTAATCGGGTACGCCGAACTGCAACTTCCGGTTACAGATTTTAATCATATCGTCGTACTTCAAATTCCTATTTAAATAATTTCTTAAAGACTGATCCGTCTATATTCATCCTTTTACCATCTACCTTCGATTAGATATATCATTAGTCTATGAGAATACTCAGCCACGTTTGAAACTCACCAATCAAACAAAATTATCATTTTCGTACAGTTAGGTCAGTCGTCAGGCCCCTTGATACATCCATATATCTGAATTCTTGTGTACAACTTTGTTTAGCTGCTTTTCGTGTACAACTGCATACCATATAATCCATAGGAAATTATCCATTTATACCCTCTGTTTACCTGCTTCTTCTTCCAGATTTTACCCAGTCAAACCTACTCAATATCCATGGCTATGTAGGCATCCATATATACCGATCCAGATATCCATATATATATATATATATATATTCTCATTATATATATATATATATATTCTCATATTTCATATATACTAATACATATACACACATATATATACACACATCCATATAGGATATGCACTTAGGGTTCATGTGTGTCCATATGTACGCATCCATATATACATTTCCATATAGCCTACATTACATAAGTTCCATACGACTCCACAAGCATGCATCCACATATATAAATATCTGCAAATTTTTTATTTTTACAAATGTTACTTCGACAACCAGGGGTTTAAGTGTGTTGACGAAAAGTCGGATTACTCGAAAAGTCACAAACGAAAGGTCATGAAGTTTCAACACACCGGTAAAGGGTTAGGCATTTTAATTAAGTAGGCGTCAACATTCCTCTTTTCCACACATTAGACGATGGGTAGAAAAACCAGTTTCTGTGATTTGTGTCCGGAGATTAAAGCCGAAGTTCTGAAGAAGTGTTTCCGTAACTCCATCTACGACTTCATTTCGACAAAGGTGGCTCATAAAGAATTCAATGATATTTCCACAGACCGAGGATTCCTTAAGACCATAATTTGGTTACCGATCCAGCAGAATGGGGGTGGCCTAATCCGTGGACGAGAATCTACTTTGACAAGTGTTTGGAGGTAGGTAACCCCTCTGCACTTCTTGTAAAAGGCTTTTCTCTTGGTTTTCATGATGGTAATTTTGATGAAGGCATGATTGTGATTAATAAGTCCGCGAGTGCTGGATACGAACTCGCTTAATATTGTCAAATTATGCTATCTCATCTTATTTTCGGAACCAAGATAGATATGCCCTACAGTAAGTCTGCATCCAGGGAAATTTTGAGGTCGAAACTTGTCTGGATGGATGGAGGGTGGTTCCCACCAAAAATTTATAAAGAAAATGCCGCCCTTGTCATGGAAAAGGCTAGGTCCTTGCATTGCGGTAATGATATCTTCCACCCTCAGATGCACACAGTAGACATGTTGCATATTGGAGAGGAGCCATTTTTGGGCCTCCGCTGTGGGGGTACAAAGATCAAGTGGAGTATAAGAAGCCAGCGGTGTTGTGCAACGACTGTTACTAAGCAGTTGAGGCGGCCATATTCGCAAAGCGGATTTTACATTTTGCGCAGCCGTGGCCCATTAATTTTTCAGGTCTCTAGTGTTTTTATGTCGTTTTCTAATGCAGTGTATTAACGTTGTTACATTATGCAGTGTATTAACGTTGTTGTTTATGTATTGAATCCATTTTATTTGTTTATTACTTTTTTATCAAATACGTTAAATTTTGAATTCTTAACCAACAAAATTAATTTCATAATGCATTGTATCAAATATATTACATTTCATAATGCAGTGTATCACACTCTCCAATTCTTAACCAACAAAATTATTTCGCACCAAAGATACTAATTTCTATATTTTTACTATCATATCTCGAATCACCATTTTTAACAATATATGTATGTGGCTTTTCCATTGTTTCTGCCAAATATAAGTTTCAATCAAATGTTTTCATTCTTCGCGTACTGATCCACATTGAATGATCCACAATTCCTATATAGGATTCAAATCCAATGTTCTCATGTTCCTGTGTTCCCATCCACATAATGGTAAGTCCCATACATCCAAATTGTATGTTCGCGTCCACATTATTTCATATCCTCCTTTGCATTTAAAACGTAATGTACGCGGCAATATGGATATACTTAATTCGCAATATGTATATACTACATTTTATCCTGTTATGCTAATTTAATTCAATCTTCGGTTCCCACTATCATGTACACATCCACATAGTGTAAACATCCACCTTCCAAATCTATGTTTCAATCAATTGTTTTACATTTTATTGTACACATCTACTCCATATTCGCCAAACCTATGTGGATGTATGTACACGTACAACCTCATCAGACTAAAATCTAGTCCATCATAATCGTATGTTTCCGGGTCTGTGGATATAGACATTTTGCAGTCCCTTTTAAATAAAAATTTCAACACACAAATGAACAATTAAATGCTGCGTACCAGGATGTGAATAATTACTTGTGCGTTTTCCTATAATAATATTTTGACTTTTTTAATTTTTTGTGTCACATTTACGTGGGGTTAGCTGTTTTCCTTACGTGCAAGGGCTAACTGTAGACATCCATTGGACAACATATAACTCTCAAAACAATTTGAATTCTCAATTCACTAAGACATCCATTTAATATTTCCAATATTACAAGAATATTTTTTTCGTTTTCTTGATCAGCATCATAGACTTTTTGACGGTAGTCATTATTACCGAACGTTGCAACGTAATTAATGATGTAAATGAGGCATTAAGAGGCACGTCTTTTCAACGGGAATAAAAGCATTAAGAGGGCAGTTGGCAACTCAATAGGTGCCTACACGGTTACTCGTCTATATAACCATCATTGCTTTGTGGAATACTTCAAACACCAAAAAAATGGCGAATTCTTTTGATATAAGTTCTCTTCCTTCAGATATGCTGTTCCAGATACTCATGCAGACCACAAATATTTTGTTTGCAGATTTGTGCAGAGCCCGTGTAGCAATGCGGCAAATGAATGAAATTTCAAGGGAAGTGGGTTTTTACAAAAGCGTGGATCTCATCTCTCTGCATGTCCCATTCCGTATCGATGAGAATGGGACTGTTGCCTCGTTCTACACACGTTGCCTCGAATCAGGTAATCCCAGGGCATTCTATCTTAGGGGGATTTCATTTTTCTTTCATGAAAACAATGTCCACGAAGGCCTTCGGCTTATCAAAGATGCGGCTGACCATGATTGCTTGATGGCGAAATATGTTTACCATATGTTGCGTCTTACTCTTGATGGGAGAATCGAGGATTTCGAGCGTGTTGGTGATATCACTAGGATTCAAAGGGCATGAAGCTCTGGAAGCCAATCAAAGGAGACCTTGGAGTATTCAAATCCCAGAGGTGTTTCACAGGCAGCGTGCTTGGGTGCTTCAGGAATCGAACAAAAGGAAGTGTGGCTGCCCAAGGATATCCGGGAATATATGGCCACTCACGGATGCTGATATTGATCATCTCTGCCATTCTTGCTTTTGGAAACATGAAACGCTGCATTTCTGCGATTTAATCTCCCGCAAAGCAATGAAATGGCCACACTCTTCCTGATCGGAAATGGGCAACAATGATTTAATGAAATTGATTAGTATATTATAGGCACTTCTCTTTGCTGTTTTAAACTATGATGACAGATATGTTATATGCTAAAGTTTATCAGATATTCAATAATTTGCATTAATGCATTTCTATCTTTTCTAATATTTTATTGCTGATTACTTGTTATCAATCTTAAATAGTTACATACATTTACATTACACCGTTACCTATATCTTAATCAAAACATCATTTCTCGTTTTGTTGCTGACCATCTTACGCGTGGCATTTCAGTAACACTTTGTCCACCATCATGCGTGTTGCCAAAGCTTGAATAAGAATCATTATTATTGTTGGGGGGGGGGGGGGAAAGAGAATAAAAAGATAAGCATTTAAGTGTTGCCGCCTATACATGACAAATAAGTGAACACATCCATATCTTTTAGGTTGTATTCTTCTAGATATTTTATCAGATTTTAATTAAATATATGGCTTACAGATTTACACTCATATTCTTTAATTCATATCAACTAATATGCTTACGTCATTTGTAACTTATATTGTCAGCCAGATTCTAACCATCATGTAAACTAATAACAATCATATGTATATTAAACAACATATACATTGATAACATTCATATTTCTCTCATAGTCATCTTTTACACGAAAAATAACCCCCACCATTGTACATATTCAACTATACCGTTATTTATCTGTGCGAATTTAACCTCATGTTGTCATCTATACGCAATACTTTTCAACTTCTATATGACTCGTCCAGGGATTTTAAGGAACTTTCCTACCCATATATTCGTCTATTTTTGCAATTGTTGCCAACACATGCATATCGCTAAACAGAAAACATCATCCCGTTGAATCCACATGGATGCGTCCATGTTACAAACTGTTTCAATTCAGTGGGCATAAAGGTCAAAGTGCTGTCCGTGTTACTCGACGTTACCCTAATTTAGCCTTAACATCCCACAACTTACCTGTCTGAAAATTTTGAACTCCAAAACCCTATATTTTGCCTCCCAAATCCACTTTCGAGATTCACCAAACCTCAGCCAAAAAAATGCCAAACAATCATGACACATCCTACTCGGATATACTGAGATACATATCCTCTCTGCAAAAAACTAATCCCAACACTGTTGTTGATATAGAAACTCAACCAGACAGTCTTGGCCGCAACATGTTCAGATGCATGTTCTTGTCCTACGCAGCTTCTCGTCGTGCTTTCATGCATTCCCCACAAGTAATAATCATCTGTGGCAATTACCTGAATTGGCGCACAAGGAGTTTCCTCATAGTTGCAGAAGGGATAGATGTGGAACGCCAACAATTTCCTTTGGCATTCGGTGTCCTCGATGGCGACAATACAAGTTCCTGGAAATGGTTCCTAACAAAATTGGCTACCATTTTTGAGGATCGTCCCGAGTTGACTATCTTCTCCCCCAGATTCGATTTCACCTTACAGACTTTGTCATTGCAGTTTCCCTTGGCGGAGAAAGCGGTATGTATTCGTCAACTCTTGCTAAACATCCAACAGAGCTACAGAAACCCCGAAATAACGGGCCTTGTGCAACGTGCTAGTTACGAGTACTCCAAACGTCGCTTCCTTGCCTGTTACAAGGAAATAAAAAAGATGAGTCCACATTGTGAACAGTACCTTAAGCGACTAGGGTTTGAACGGTGGAGTATGGCTTTTTCCAACGGCTATCGTTTCGACGTTTATAGTGCAGAGGTTAACGATTTGCGACACCTGAGTAGGCAGAATTCCATCATGGGTTTGCTCCACTACATTCACTGGCATGTTAGTAGCCAGTTCACATGGCGTTACGGCAAAGCAATGGAGCATCAGGGATATGTAAGTCCTTACATAGAAGGTCTGATTTCAAAGAGAACACCTACTTTCGATAGTTGGGGATTCCTTAAGGTCTCTGACTATTCTTGTGAAGTTGTAAACACAAATGGGGAGTCTTTTTTAGTCGATCTGGACCGTAAGTCATGTTCCTGTGTGGCTCTCCAGAAGATGTTAGTGCCATGTGAGCATAGCCTAGTCGCAGCCCAAAACCTGGGAATCTCTCCACTAACATTGGTAGGAAGCGTCTACAGCACCGCACAATGGTTGAAAACTTATTCGGAGTACTTGCAGCCGTATTTGAAGTTCAGGACAATGAGATAACCTATCCTGTTATGCAGTTGTTACCTCCGATGCAACGACAACTTATTGGTCGTCCAAAGCGACATCCTCATCTCCCTGTAAGTTAACATAATATCACTCATATTCATCTTAATTAAGCCGATTAAATCTTTTACTCTTCTTTTTATCAACTGGACAGCGATACACCGACGCAAACATTTCTTCAAGTTGTCGTTGCAAAGGCCATTCTGTGCTGACCTGTTACCAGTGATCGCAGCCACTTACCCGATTATGCTGGCGAACTCGGATTACTGTTTTAATGCCCTTGTTTTTCACCTCTCCCTTTGCAACTCAGATTACTGTTTTAATGAACCTCTCCCTTTGCTTTCGCTGTTCCTTTTCATATTGTTTGAACTTGTTCAAACCGGTGTTGCTTCCTAAAGTAATTTGGACTTTATCTTTGTAGTTTACATGCTTGATCTATTTCTTGTTTATCCTATATATATCGGTATTATTTCACATTATTGTCTTCCCAATATTTACATATAAGGATATAAACCACATGACAACTAATTACTCATTAAATACTACAAGCCATAAGACATCATTCCAACATTATCTTCACATAGATGCTACAAATATTCTCCCCCTGCAAAATATACTGATCCTTTCCGTACGATATTATGTGTATTTATTTATAATACAGCCCTCGATAAAAAACTCTATGCGTATTTTTTATCTTTTTAAATGTCTCAACCATCTTATAATCCTTAACGTTCAGGTAACTATGTCCATGTGTACCATACATACGTCCATGTGTAACTACATCCATGTGTACACATATTATTGTACGTGTCCACATTACCCTACATACTACAACAACATCTTCCTTTACGCTACAAATGTATTGTTCCAAGGGACATTCATACATTCTTACACGGTTGCGTACACAGCCACTTTTTTGTTTCAGACATCTGTCGAAAACAATTATATTCATTGGACAAACAATTCAATAACAAATTCTATCCACGAGTTCATGACCAAATATAGTGGTTCTAATGTCATTGCTGTAACAACATTATTACATCCCTATAAATATTATTGCGGTAATCAAGACAGAACGAGGTTTACATTTACTTCCTCCATTTCACTCTGCAACAATGCCATTTAGTTATAGTTGGAGCTCATCCGGATCTGAAATTCCTGATCCTAACGATTTTGGGGATTTTGCCACTTCAACCATACCTCTAGGTATTTCGCACTACTGCTTCTGTAAAAACCAATTCACGTCGGCACCAGTTTCGACCCGATTAACCAAGGTCGACGCTACTATGCTTGCCCAACCTCTGAAGTAAGCTTCTTAAAATTCTCAATACAATCTCATTTGCCTTGGCGAAACTCACTTTACAGTTTATTTTGTTATTTTGCCTGTATGTTGAAGCAGGAGGGATGTGATTTCAAGAAATGGGTGGATGTTGCTTTCATGGAAGAAATATAGACTCTCAAAGAAAAAATAGAGGAGTCAGCTGATTTAATAACCTACATTCGCACCAATGACTACGGTCTAAATATCGACTTCCCCACACAGTGGCGTAACATCGAAACGGCGTTCGAAGATATAGCAGTTCTAAAAGTCCAGAATGATATACAAGAACAAACTATCTCCCTGCTCCAAAAACCACTAGGGTTGAAATCCCAACTTCTGATTAATTTTTTAATTATATGTTCATCTTTTCTTTTCGCTACATTATTGCTTAAACCCTGACTGACTCTATTAATATGCTTATAAGTGTTACAATCCCTGGCCTTTTCCACGGTTATGTATATAAAATGGACTATGCTACTTGGATGTCCAAGTTCTATCCATGTAATCTTAATGTCCATTGGCAATTATCTTAATAATCTACAGACCAAGCACCCATAATTCAACAACATAAACAACAAACATTCAAATACTGACTACGAATAACTACTTAACCACTTTTATTCAAATTTCATACATAAATAAGCGGTATGTACCAAAACTGCTAATTATCCAAGACCTTAGATGTAAACATCTACTTTAGTTAAATTAAATTGCAATTATTTTAACCACATCCCTTTATTCGTCAAACTTGATCACGCCCTATGGACGATATGGAACCAATATTTGTCTATATATATTTCCAACTCCGGTTAAAAAAACCCAAGCGCACAAAAATATACATTACACCAACAACTACATATATGTCTAACCCTGTTGATTTCTCCCTCCATGAATTACCAAAATTGTTACTCCTTTTAAAACGAGCCAACCACGATACGATAGCCGATCTAGAAACAGAAATAGATTCCCAAGGCCATCGGCGGTTCAAGTATCTCTTCTTATCCTAGGGAGCATCAAGAACGGGCTTCTGTAAAATGAGGCCAGTTATTACTCTAGCCGGCACCTTCTTACGTTGGGTCTACAACGGCTACATCATTGTAGCCAATGGGGTCGACAGCAACTCACAGCTTTTTCCACTCGCATTCGCTATCGTGCCAAGTTCCACGGTAGAAGCATGGAAATGGTTCCTTTTCAAATTGGAAACCATTTTCCCGGACAGCAGGGAATTGGCAATTGTCTATAATTCCTCTCACCTCATCCACCGATATTTGTTAAAACAATATCCACTAGCAGATAAAAATGTCTGTCTCCGTGACCTTTGCTTAAAGATCCGTCAGAGCTACCGCGATCATGCCCTAATGTAGCTTGTTCAACAAGCATCAGCTACATACAGTGTTGTGGAGTTCCGTCGGTTGTTTAAAGCCATCAAACAGAAGAATACTCATTGTGCTCAATACCTTCACACTCTGGGGGTTTCCAGTTGGTGTATCCGTTTCTCGAAAGGACTCCGGTGGAACATTTATACAACTGACATGTCTTTGCAGGTGTTATGAAGATTGAGCGAGAGTGATTCCGTTACTTCATTTGTGGGTTACATCGATGCCTGGATCACAAGCATCTTCACCTCTCGCTACTCCCAAGCACTAGATCACCACGGTGAGGTCACCAAATATCTTGAAGAAATCATCTCTAAAAAAAACAGAGTCCATAGGTAACTGGAGCATTGGTTTAGCTATAGATATAACCTGCGAAGTTTTCTCAAAGTCTGGTAAACGTTGCTTGGTTAACCATTCTTTAAAAACTTGCACTTGTATGGTTCTATAAACCACTTTGATGCCATGTGTTCACTTCCTTGTTTCATGCCATCACTTTGGAATTTTGCCTTTTAACTTTGTCGGAAATGTCTTCTCTACAGGGAGTTTTCTTAAGTGTTACTCGACTCCGGTAAACGCGATAGAAGATGTTTCCGGCAATGATATTCCTATCGCCGTCGGCTGTTCCCGGTTGCTGCCACCACTTCCACAGAAACTACCAATCCGTAGCTACCCCACCAATATTCGCAAAGGGCCTTCGGTAAGTTCTTTATTATTTTTTTCCTTATAGTATCCATATCCCCCTGTCCAAGTATTGACTTTTGACTCTTTGATCAGTTAGGGTAACACGAAAGACAAAGCATTTTGCAACACTTGCCTCAAACCAGGACACAACGAGTCAACATGCTTTATGCATCTACATTGAAAAAGATTCGTGGGCCGATATTCACCATTAAAACTATATTGTTTAATTATGTGTCACATCGATCTTTTCTGTTCTCCAGTACGTCTTTGATAACACCGGATTTTGACAATTTTTATGGATCACTTTAATGTCTTTTACAGGTGTTTTTACTTCATTTTCAAAGGTTTTCAATGGATTTCTATGTTTTCGGATTTTAAAAGACTTTTCAGGTAATTTGGGATAGAGAGGCACAAATTGGAACAAAAAGACTCTTTTGGATAAATGCAGACCGTCAGAAATCTCATGGAGAGACGAAGACCTTCTCACCGTCTGATCACCCTCAAAATTGGACAACTTATAGAAGAATCAACCATCTTTCAAATGCACTTGGTTTGGAGACATTCAAACGGTTGGATCTCAAGATATTCCATTAGCCCCGGAGCCACTTGAAGATGGCCAGCAAGTCACGCGACCGCGGCCAACAGCCCATTCCCCGCGGTCACAAGCCTCCCGACCGCGGCCAACCACCTGTTCCCCGCGGTCACATCACTCCCGACCGCGGCCGGCTAACTCCGAACCAAAGCCCATATTTCTGAAGCCCAAAGTCATTCTCAGCCTCAATTCCGGAACCCTAGAGACCATGGAGTATTGAAGACTATAAATACTTGTCATTTAGGTCGTTTTTAGACACCACCCTTCATACTTTACAGAAACCCTTTTCCTTTAGCCGTTTTTATGCAATTTTTGTAGAAGATTGTTCAAGTCCGAGTTCTTCAATAGAGAAGCTTTCTTCATCTCTTTTCTTTACTGTTTTTGATTACTTTTATTAAAACCAATGATGATGTCGACCTCAGACATGTCTGAGTAGATTCCGAGTTGGGCTTAGGGTTCCCGAAAGGGGCTCTCATAATCGATTAAGACATCAAGGTTTATAGATCTGGGATTTCAACTTTGTTCTCTGTTTATTCTTGTTCTTATTGCATGTATGCTTGATTAATCACCTAGTATCTGATCTAGATAGTTAGTTTTGCAAAAGTTTTCATTAAGTATCAGCCCTAGAATGAAACAGGCGATTTTTCCGTAGGAGTGGAAACCTACCTGCGGCGAGATCGTGAGTATTGACGAGTCTTGTGCAGCTCTTGCGTTCTCTCCCTTCCAGGGCTAGAGTGGAAACCTACTGGTCAGGGTTGCGAGAAACAGTTGGTTATGATCACGACAGTGACATAGTCATACCGCCGTACTCTAGCTCTAGAACCCTATATATCGATATCCGTCAATCCCAATCTATCTACCTTAGTGTTAAAACCGATTATGATCCCTTAGAGTTCCCAAAAGCTCAACGTTTTTAGCCATAGTTTACAAACCAATCAATTTTTACTTGCTTATTTAGATCTGCTTTTCAATTGTCTTAGTTCGATATTTTACTTGCTTTACTTGCTTTCCATTCGATTTTTCTACT